AGAAATTTTAAGGGAAAAAGAACTCTTGAAAAAGCAAAATCTTCACAACAAAAAAAGGAAAATTCAACACCAGGCTTAAGAAATAAAGTTAACAAAGACTCCCAGATAAAAAAGAGCAAAAAGACTAGGAGGTGAAAAGCAAAAGAAAAAGGAAGTACTAGAGGACTAGTCTAAGAGATCCAAACAAATAACAGAAGTTTCATAGCGAGAGGAGATACAAACAGGAGAAGAGGAAACCACTGTTAGGAACTGAATTGTGCCCTGTCAAAATTCATATCTTGAAGCCCTAGCCCCCAACGTGAATGTATTTGGAAATATGACCTTTAGGAGGTAGCTATGGTTAAAAGTGGTCATAAGGGTGGGGCCCTAATCCAACAGGATTGGTATCCTCCTAAGAGGAGGAAAGATACAGTTCTTTCCACAAAAGGCCCTGTAAGGACACAGTGAAAAGGCAGCTGTCTACAAACCAAGAAGCAAACTCATCAGAACCAATCCCAATGGCACCTTGATCTCGGACTTCCAGCCTCCAGAACTGTGAGAAAATGTAGTACCTGTTATTTAAAACACACAGTCTGTGGTATTTTGTTATGGCAGTCTTAGGTGATTAACCTAACCATCAATTAAGAAATTAAAGAGAAAAAAAAGAAATTAAAGAAAAATTATCAGAACTGATGAACATAATTTGGTAGATTTGGAGGGCATAATGAATAAACATCTAGGGAAATGCACAAAACTAGATGTATTTCATGAGAGTATGCCAAGTCAGAGTCTCCTGAAATTAAAAAAATTCCAAAATGGCCAAAAGCATTAGGATCAGGAATCAGAATGTTTTCAGAATTCCTAAAACAGTTACAAACTAGAAAACAATGGAGAGATGCCTTCAGAATTTCTAAAGGAAATTATTTCCAACCTACAATACATTACTCAACCAACCAAATCAGTGGGAAGACCTACATAAATAAATAAAGGAGGGGTTATTAATGCAGATCTCAAGTTTTCACAAGAATCTACTGTGGGATATAACCTGTCAAAAAGAGGGGGGGTCAAACCAATTAAAAAAAATTATGATTCACAGCAAATATGAAATTTAAGACAAAGGGAATAGTTTTATAGTAATGGGGGAAATCCCAGGAAACTACTGTAGACCAGCTAAAGAACTAGTTTGATCAAGTGCAAAAACTGGTAAACAAAACAGAGCAATTCTACTCCCACATATACTCAAAAGAAATAAGGGTGTACGTCCACTAAAAGAGTTGTAAGTAAACGTTCACAGCTGCTTTATTCACAACTGCTTTAAAAAAAAAAAGGAAATAAATATTCATTAATGGTGATTTTTTTTTTCATATCTATTCATCCAACAAAATACAGTCATCAGTGAATAAGACCAACTACTTCTGCACCCAACATCATGGGTGAATCCACAAACACAAAGTTAAGTAAAAGTAGCCACAAAAGAGTATATATAGTATGGTTCCACTTACATTAAGTTCAAGAACAGGTAAAAATAATCTATGGTAATACAGGTGAAAACGGTGATTACTCTGGGAGGCAAGAGGCACAGATTGGGAGGAAGCAGGAGAGAGCCTTCTGGAGCATTGAGAATGTTCTTCTATACTGACCTGGGTGATGGGTAATACGGTGCCTACAAATGGAAAAATTCATTATGGATACACTGAAATTTGGGCACCTTACAATTTAAAAAATATAACAATACTGTCTCTAAACAAGTTTTTAAAGAAATTAATGGACTTTTCAATTGGATCCCACAACAGGAACTAAGCAAAAGGAAAATTTTCTAAGGCCTTATACACAAAGATCTTTATTTCAAAGTTATTATAATAGGAAAAAAAACTAGGAATACCACTTAAAAAACGAGTGCCATGCAAACTCTGGATTTCTCTGGCATAGGAGAGAAATTATCATTTGATGTGTTTTTATTACTAGCAGCCAAACGTAATACTTATTACCCTAAGGAAGCCATCTGCCAGACGGGTTTACAGGCGACAAGGCAAAAAAGAGCTTGGTTATTCAAGGCCCAAAGAGCAGCCTAAAGGAAAAAAGATAATGACAAAAGATGCAGATAGAAGCTGGCAAAAGCTAAATCATGGAAAATTTCACAGGGCTTTCTAAGAACATGTTAAAAAAAAAAAAGAAAAAAAAAATTCAGGCAGCAAATTGAGAGGTGGTATAGGAGGTATTCTAAATGTACCTAAAAATAATGTTACTTAAAAACATACAGTATCTGGAAGTGATCAAGCATTTCCAAAAACTTTTCCAATGCATTGTTTAATTAATAAAATGTTTTCATAATATACCTGGAATAGGCATAAAGTACAAGGAATATTAAATTGTTATATTTATTATCTCAACTGATCTAAGTGCAACATGATTCTGAAGCATGTACTGAGACTTCTGGAATGCTGGTTCACACACACACGCACACAAAAACCTTTTTAGATGCATTCATTTTTTAAAAAGATTTCCCCAAGCCATACTCTCACTGCTTTATTCAACTGGTCTGTTTGAACAGAAATTACCCATAGCACACTTATCCAATTTAGCACTCCTTAAGTACAATTTCAGGAATAAAGAACAAGAGAATCAGTGTTTCAACAGTTTATTTTAGCAGATAATTTATTTAAACAAATAAAAATAAGCCATTTACAAACAACCAAAAAAATAAAACAAAAATAGCTTTTAATTTGTTTCAGGCCAAAAATGCCAAGCATACCCTCGAGATATTTCACCTAATTTTTCTGTGCTGTTTGTCTTGTTACATAAATATTAAGAAAAATACCAAGGAAACTCTATGCTGCTGGTTTTAACAGAAACTTTAGAGTTGGGGGTGAACAAAATGACATTGCAAGAGATGAAAAGAAGTATAGTTTCATAAGAATACACACATAAATTTTTTTTTTAATATACAGAACTTGAGTTAGGAAATAGTAGGAAATTAAGGTTTAAGTGAGCTCTGCCAGGGTCACTAGGTGAATTTCAGTTAACTTAGTCTGTGTGGATTACATTTTCCCTATGTATAAAATGGAAAGATGGATTCCAACATTCCCACAATACTGTTCTATAGTATTATAATACAAGTACACATATTAAAAACCAAAGAAATGATAAAACAGTAAGGACTGTGGGTTCAAAGGAAAGTAACAACACAGGGAACAGAAGGATTTAGAAGGCTGTGAGGAAGGACCAAATATGAAATGTCAACAAAATCTGACTTTACTTGCCACTTAATTTAAGGAGGAAAATTTCTTTTAAAGAATACTAGCAATAAACAGGCAGTCAAAGTGTCAACAGACATGAAGGCAGAAAAATACACAATCTAGATGAGAACAAGAGATTGGTTTGTGTTAGGGTGGACAGCTCCTATAGAGAATTACTGCTATCATTAAAAAAAAAAAAACAGGTTTTGAGCAGACTGTTAGAAGGCTGGGAATTCTGAACTATACTCTAAATAACAGGGAACGAATGCTGGTTTAACAGTGAGGGCGGTGGAAGCATTATTTTAGAACAAGGCAGAAGCCAGGACATACTAAGCAGGGAGAAAAGAGGCAGAAAATCCAATTAAAAGCTACTGGGGGGAGAAAAGAAAACTAGTGGGAAGAATAGATATCTGAAAGAAATTTCAGAAAATGGCTGACAAAAATTGGGCAATGTTATGTGGTGAGAGGAAGTCTAGGATAAAACCAAGGCTTATGCCTGGGTAGTTGAAGGCATGATAAATATCACCAAAACAAAGTCAGTATATGGAATCAGTTTTGAAGGAAGACTATAAATTATATCTTTCAAAGAAAGTGAGGAACATCCAGACATAATTGTTGCCTTATTAAATAATCTTTAAATGTCATTTTTGGTCCTGTCAGTTGTCTTCCTAAAACAGCACAGCAAAGTATTGACAGAGGATTTGTTAAATGCTTAGTGATTTCAAGAGTTTCCTCCAATTCTACTTATTGACTAAATAAGTAAATCATTTAGTCTTCTGGTGTAGGCAGAAAAATATCTGGTATTCTTCCACATTACAAAGGTAAGTAAATTGTAAAAATTGTTAAACTATAAAAGAATAAAATAAACAGGATATGTATTAAGTCTTCTTGACAAGTGATTTATAACAACATTTGCATCAAATCTACCTTGAGTTTTGACAGGGAAGTTCTCAAAGGTGCAAAAATCCAGTGGTCCAAAACATATTTCAATATCTAACAAAACGTACCACGTATGTTTCAAGTTTTATTTTCAAGGACCTGAAAGCACTAGTAAAATCTAGACTAAATATTTAGAAAAACAGAGAAAAAAAAGTTTAAAATTTAACATATGAACAAGCACAGCTGAGAAATCTTGAACATTTTGCAAACTGTTCACAATTTTCCAAAGAAAATGGTAAAGTTTGCAATGAAAATGAAATAAAACTACTATTAATCAACCACTGCATAGTTATAGAGTTTCTATCAAACTATGAATGGGATACCTATTTAAGAACTGAACATTACTGACAATTACCAGACAAACAGAACCTTCCTCTTGGATAATTTCCCCATTTACTGTGTAAACTCCCTGAAGGTTGAGACACAGCTCTTTCCACTTGCTTAATAAACTGTATGGCTGGTCTTTCTTACAGCTACCAAAATAAGATTTTAAAAAATGAATACGTCTTGCAACACCTACTCGTCCTGACTGGACAGTGAGCTTTTTTTGCTCACCACCCAAAATGCGGATAGAAATTTCTCCTTCAACTCATCCTTTCCTAATTCCCATGGTTTCCTGCCAAAGTCAACGGGCAGAATTATTTTAAGTGACTAGTTCATTAGTGTGACACTAAACTGGGCGTCTATAAAGGGTTCTCAGTCCCACACAAAATCCAGCTTCCCAAGCTTCTAACGGTAAACTTTTATGGACACATAAGAAAGGTTACAAAACCAACTATCAAGATACATTTTTTCTCCGGGATATATTACAACTCAAGTCAAAAGCTTACAGCCCAAGTAACTCACGTACGAAGCCATAAGATTAAAATAACCCAGGTTTCCCGACGAGGGAAACGGCTGGGGGCTGGGTGGGGGGAGGGGCGGGAGGCGCATCCCGAGGATGTCCATCCTCCGCACCCGGAACGGCTCCCTCCCGCTCCTAGAGGTGAGCGCCCCCACCACCACCTCCACCACCACGTCCCTACCTCCGCGGCCTCGGAATGCGCCTCCACAGCCGCCAGGACTCTTAGAGAGGACAAGAAAAGGAGAAGGGTGCACACCACACACTCGACCTCCCAGCCTCCGGGGGCGGCCGGCCGCAACGCTCACCCGGACCCGACGCTCCAGGGATAGACAGGAAGGTCGTAGGGCTGCGCCGCCCAGGGCAGTGGCCGGAGGGTCGCGCGGAGCCGCGAGGCAAAAAGCCCAGGCCCGACTAAGCGGCCTCCCCGCCCCCTCCGGCTTAGCTCCGGGCCGGCAGACGGCGCCCCGGGAGCTAACTTCAGCAGAGAAGAGGAAGCACCGCGGCAAGTAACGGGCTATGTGGGTTCCCCGGACGAGAAAAGACTGTGTGTCTGCCTGCCGGCAGGACCGTCTCACCTCCCCTCTGCAGAGCCCGGGCGGCGCCAGCTCACTTGAGGAGGGCAGGGACGCCGCCACGGCCGCCGCGATGGCCGTTACGGCACGAGGCCTCCACTCTGCCGCCGCGTAGCTCTGGGGAGAGGGGCGGGGCGCGCGCGGCGGGAGGGCGGGGCTGCAGCGCCGACTGGTCGCGAGGCCCTGGGCGGACCCGCGCGGACAGGAAACCCCCTCCCTGCCCAATCTGATAGGTTCAGTCTTCCCCTTCCCTCCTATCACTGACGCGAGGGCGGTCTTCGCCACGCTGGGATTGGGCGAGCCTGCCTGTCAATCAATTGCTGTGCTGGGCGAAGAGCTGGGGCTGCTTCGCGGAGAGGGAGTGAGAGAGACTGAAGCGCCCTGCCTGTCTCTGGGTTTTGATGCTTTTGTGTCTCTGGCTGATTATTCTGGGGGCCTTCCTCCTCAGCGCTACAGGAGAGTCCATAGCAAAACTGACTGCTTTCCGAGTTAAGCCCCGACTGCTCTGGGAGCTTCCTTCTGGTTTCTACACCTGAAGAAGGTCTTACCAGCGGAAAGTTGTTAGGGACGGGGAGCGAAAATGAAAAGCAAACAAAAAGGCCTGAACGTGGAGTCCTGAGAGAAAAATGTAAGACGTGTCCTTAATTTGAACCACAAATCAAAATAAGCTGAGTCTGAGGGCCTTCGAAGCGCCCTGGTGCGTGGATAGCTTTCATTCTTGGCTGCGGTAGCCTTGCTGAGAAGAATACAGTGTCTTTCGGTGCCAGGTCTGTCCTTAGCGGCCCAGCCCCCATCAGTAAGTTGGTTCTCCCTACACCGGCGCTTCAGACCCCATCACCTGCCTCTTCCTCCCCAGCCTTCTCTGCGGCTCTGCTTAGGCGTTTCCCGCCCAGGGGAGACTGCTGAGTGCACAGGTGTTTTCCGCATCCAGTTGCTGAAAGAGCCAGACTTTTTGCGACTCCATGAATCTGAAGCCCACCAGGCTCCTCTCTCCATAGAATTTGCCAGGCAAGAATACTGGAGCCTGTTGCCATTTCCTAGGGATCCAACCAGCGTCTCCTGCACTCGCCAGGGGATTCTTTACCACCTGGGAAGACCTCCCTACCCCTACCTGGATTGTAAACTCAAATCAGGAATCATGTCAGTACTCAGTTTTTCCCCAGTACCTAGCACATGGCAGTGTTAGGCACTTAGTCCTGTCTGACGCTTTGCCACCCCATGGACTGTAACACATGGAATTGTCCAGGCAAGAAAACTGGAGTGGGTTGCCATTTCCTTCTCCAGGGGATGTTCCCGACACAGGGATCGAACCCAGATCTCCCACTTTTCAGGCAGATTCTAGCACATGGTAGATCATCAGTATTGTTTAAGGCATTAGTAAGTACAGTTTCGATTTCCAATTTCATTCGTTTACGCTTTTCTGTATTTAACTTCAGAATTATTCATTTGGATCCTAGTAGAGGAATATGGTTCACTTGCAGTCAAGCATAAATCACCTGTGGCCCCTTCCTGGCCTCAAGTTGAGAGGGCAAGTGGACCAAGAAAATCTGGGCAGCAACTCCATCTATATCCTGTAATTAGGATCTGAAGTCAATAATGTAAGTGGATTTTGGATTTATTCTAAGGATCTAAGTACCTTTGTGTATTTTTATCATGGCTGCTATGGACTGAGTTGTGTTCCCCTCTCAAAATTCATATGTTGAAGCTCTAACCCCCCAGTGTGAGTGTATTTGGAGACAAGACCTTTCAGAGATAGTTTAGGTTAACTGAGGTGATAAGAGTGGGGCCCTAATCCTATAGAATTAGTGTCCTTTATAAGAAGTGACTGCAGAGACATAGACGCTGTCTTGCTGTCTGTCCTCACAACTAGAAGACACAGTGAGAAGGCAGCCATGTGCAAACCAGGAAGAGGGCGTTCACCAGAAACTAACCATGCTGGCATCCAGACATGGGACTTCCAATCTCCAAAACTGTGACAAGCTAAATTTTTGTTGTTTAAGCCACCCAGTCTATGGCATTTTGTTATAGCAGCCCACACTATTGTTATAGCTCTAACACAATAGTTTTATTTATTGATACATCTTATAAAGTTTATGGATTGAGATATTTCATTCATTTTTTGAAGCTGTATAAACCCATTGTCCAGAGGTTGAAACTATTTCTCCAAAATAGTTTCACACAACAAACTGTTAGGTACACTTGGCTCATAACAAACTTAGCTATACCTGGCTTGTTTCAACTTTAGTTTTTTAACATGTGATGGGATAAGGGGAATGTGAATACAAATATAACAGGTAAAATAGTCCTTGCTATCAGGTAGCTTAGACCACTTCCATAAATGGGGGAAATAAACCCAGAAAAAAAATATGCTGAAGTCGTAACTTTAGATTTTATTTTGTAAGGGATTATGTATTTTGAATGGGTCAGTGATCTGAACAGACTGTGAGATTTTGATTCAGATCTCTTAACTACTGTGGGCCATCTGTTTAAGTAATAGAAGAAGTAAGGGGGAGAACTTTTTCATAAAAGGATTTTAGTTTCCTGTAAATACATATTTTCCTTTTAACTTTTCTTTAAATGTTCCCTAATCACCCTATTCTTACCAGGAACTCTTAAGAAAGAAAGAAAGAAAAACTCAAAAAATATAAGAGAAAGAGAAGGAATTGAGGAATAAAAATAAGGAAACAACAATGAGAGGAAAGCATTGGGGTAGATAGACAGGAAGTCATGTATGAAATTGCTCTATAGTGTACTTAGAATTATGGACCCCATGTTTGTAAGGGGTGGGTGTTGTCCCAGAGACCTTTCACACTGTCTCCCCAGCTTCCAAATAGAAACATGTGCTTGACTTCTTCTTCCTCTCTTTTAGCAGAACTCAAACCAAAAATGGGAATCAACCCTGCTAATTAGTTCTGAGTGGACTAGCCAGAATCAAGCAACAACATTTAGGTCAAAACTTATGACCTATGGACTAGAAATGGGGTTTCAGATACAGGTAGCTAATCAATCTAGGATAAGAACACATAGGTACTTCACTTCATTCATCCCAGAGGAAAGAATTTGGGAAGACAAGGAAAGGGAAAATGAGCCTCCGTGTGTCAAGACCTTTCCCAGGAAACTATTGAGGACTTGTAGTTAGAAATGATTAGAGAGAATGATCTGGTTTAATATCACTGTAAGGACTATGTAGGACAAAACAAACAGAAACAAAATCTTACCTACTAAATCAGTAAGAAGTCACTAATCACATGCTTGACTGTGAAGTGTAGAAATTAGTGAACTCTAATAACTAAATTGGAGAAGGCAATGGCACCCCACTCCATTACTCTTGCCTGGAAAATCCCATGGACGGAGGAGCCTGGTAGGCTGCCGTCCATGGGGTCGCGAAGAGTCAGACACGACTGAGCAACTTGACTCTCACTTTTCACTTTCCTGCATTGGAGAAGGAAATGGCAACCCACTCCAGTGTTCTTGCCTGGAGAATCCCAGGGATGGGGGAGCCTGGTGGTCTGCCATCTATGGGGTCACACAGAGTCGGACACGACTGAAGTGACTTAGCAGCAGCAGCAGCAGTAACTAAATTCACTTTCTGGGTTGAGTAGTATTACTGTTTTATGGGAATTAATTAAACAAAAATTTATTGAGTTCATTCTGTGTTAAGCACTACAATACATACCAGAGATCTAAAAATCAGTCTTAAAGGAGCTCCATCCAATGTCAGAGAATGAAATTTCAACTGATGCTTATTATTTGTATAGAAATACAGCAATAGATGTCTACAGGGAGACATTAGGCCACAATGCGAGGGGAGGTGTGTGTGTGGTCAAGAGAGTCAAGGTAAACAAGTAGGCAACGAAGAGAAGGGCTTTTCATATAGAGGGGCCTCCATAAATTTTTTTTAATTTTTTAAAAAAGGAAGTACACAACAGTAGAATATTGCTAGAGCAAAAGATGACAAAGTGTAAGCAAGAGTGGGTTAAACAAGTTAAGGGCCTTTGTTTTTATACTATAGGCAATGAGAAGTCATCAAAGAGTTTTCTTAACAGCACTTTAAACTGTCATTCTGTTGCTTTCTGGCCTCCACTGTTTCTGATGAGAAGCTGGCTGTAATTCTTATTGTATTCTGTATTGTATTCTGTAGGTCAGGCTGCTTTTAAGGTTTGTTTCTTTATCTTAGTTTATCAGCAGTTGCAGTATGTTTCTAGGTGTGGTTTTCTTTGTATTTATGCTGCTGGGGGGTTCACTTATTTCCCTGGATGTGTGGCTTGCTGGTTATTGTATCTTTTTATTGAATTTGGAAGACTCTTGGCCAGCATTTCTTCAAGTATTTTTTTCTGCCCATTCTCTCTTTCTCTGTGACTATACTTAAATTTATGCTAGATTTCTTACTCCTTAGTACAGGTCATTCTAAGACCTCTTCATTTTTTTATAAATCTTTTTTGTTTCTTTGCTTCAATTTGCATAATTTCTATTGAGAGCCAGTAATTCCTGAAAAATCTGAATGTTAAAATTTTCCCAAAAACACAAACACCCTACAAATGGCTGTGGGTTCCTTTGGGGTATATCCAAAGGCATGTTAGTCAAGAGAACAGAAATAAAAAGATATTCCAACAGAGAACAGAACTTACTACTGGGTGTTGATGGACTGGAAAAGCAAAAACAGAACACTGAAGTAGCCTAGATGTGGTAACTACAGAGAGCAGCTATCACCTCTAACCTAGCGAGACACCAGCTGGCATAGGAAAAATGTTGTTTGCAGGGTCTGAGCCATAGCATCACATAGGAAAGTTACAGATGAGTGTATCTGAAGTTAAGATAGCTCAATAACAATAACTTAATAACCAGTAGCATATTAACATTTGTTTGTGCTAAATTAGTAAAAACTTCCCAAATTGGATCCAAATTAATGCTACGTTATGCAGTTTTACAGACTTTTAGCTCTTTTGAAAAGAATCCAGTACACGAAGTTTTCAGTTTTCTGCTGTACTATGATTACTGTTAGTGCCTTTTCCAGGAGTAAGGAGTGCCTTTGCTGCAGCTCACACACATACTTGGTACAAAATCATAAACAAGGGCAGGTTTGGAAGAGATTGGCATAACTGAGGATGAGTAGACCCTCCTGCAGCATTCAGTCTCACACCATACAGCACAAAATGGCATAGACTAAGTAGAGCTGGCAGGAATCCATATTCTCCCTACCTCCATTTCCTATGCATTGCCTAATATGGCCAGAGCAAGGGGAAGACAGTTTCCTCTCCTAAGGCAGGACGACCACCATTGCCAGTAAAAAACCAACTCCTTTCCTTTGTTTCCTCTTTCTTGCCTCAACTCCAGCTACTTTACCCAGCCCAATCATCTGTAGGTCCCTAATGCAAACAGATGACAAAAACAGGGCTTGGTATTCAGCATTTCATCTTATAGAGTTCTGAATATTGAAGGATTTTTGTTGAACACTTATAGAACATTGGACAGGAACATTTTTTCTAACTTCTTAATCTCTAGGACTGCTGAATTTCCACTGGAAAGGAGTCATTTCTTCAAGTCTTATGTTCTTTAGTGCTAAAAGTTGACATTCTCTACCACCTTTTATTATTTATAATAATAATTTTATAATAAAAATTACCTTTTATTGTTAATAGCAAAGAGACCAGATTCATGATATTCCACATAATTTAATATTTAGAAGACTAGAATAAATTTTTCTACATCTGCATATATTAATTATATATAGCACTCTGTCAGTTATACAACACAAAAAAAACATGTATAGGTGAACATTAAAATGGCAGTGTACCTATTAGTAACTGAACATTAACAAGATAATAATTAAGTAGTCATTTAATGGGAGAGTCTAGTATTTCCTGATAATCCTGCCTTCTTAAATCCCTCCAGTAAAGTTTATAGCCAGCAAGGACAAAAACACTAATCATAATGATTACCCCTCCAAAGACATCATAGACACTAGGAAATATATGTAGCACTAGAAGCTGCAACACCATTGCTACCACAATCTCCAGATGTTGTACTGTGCTGACCAAAGCTGGATGGAATTTGTCTAAAGCATAATAAACTCCCAAGAAGGCTGCAGTAGAACAAATGCATATAGCAATTAGATAACTCCAAGTTTCTCCATCTAATGGGATGATGGGTTCTTGAAGAACAAACATAGTAGATATTCCCCAGACTGTCCCGGTCCAACCAAATGTAAACAGTGCAGTCCACATGCTGATCTTCTCCTTAATGGATCTGTATACTATCATGGAAAGAGCAGTGGTCAGTCCAGCCATCACAGTCATAGTGTACCCAAAGGCTTCTTTCCAGGCATTTAACAAAGAATTATCTTCATCAACAATGTTGGGGATCATGACAAGACAAACACCTAAGATGCTGCAAACAACTGTAACCATGTCAACATAAGCCATTTTCTCATCTACAAGTAAAAAAGCCAAAATGGCACTGAAGACGGTGGTTGTGGCTCTCCACATAGTGGTCCCGTTGCTGGGAGGAACTATTGAAAATGATGTATAAGCACAGGTGATAGAAATGACATTGCATACACCGTAAAAGAAAAGTCGCAGTCTGTATCCACTTGGTCCAA